GGGGTGTGGGGGGTGTTGGTTGCTTTTTGGAGTGTTTTTTTCCCATTTCCGATGGGTCTTGGGGGTTTGTTTGTTTTGGGGGGTTTCTCCCCCATTTCGGATGGGTCCTGAGAGTTTGTTTGTTTGGGGGGGTTCCCCCATTTCCAATGGGTCTTGGGTGGTTTGGTTGCATTTGGAGTTTTTTCCCCATTTCCTAAGGGTCTTGCATGCTTCCCTTGCTTTTTCCTTTGTTCTCTTTGCATATCCGAACTGCCCCTTTGTTCTCTCTGCATTTCCGACCTGGTCCCTTTGTTCTCTCTGCATTTCTGATGTGCTCTGTTTGTTTTCTGTGTATTTCCAATGGGTCTTGCACGCTTGATTGCTTTTCGTCCCCCCCCCCTCCAGCCAGAAGGGATTAATCGCATTTCCAATGAGTCTTGCAGGGCTTTTGTGTGTGTGTGATTTTTTTCTTCAGCCAGAAGGGATTAATCGCATTTCCAATGATCTTTCAGTGCTTTTTGTGTGTGTGTGTGATTTTTTTTTCTTCAGCCGGAATGGATTAACTGCATTTCAATGCATTTCAATGGGAAATGGTGCTTCAACTTACGGCCATTTCGATTTAAACCCATCTTCCGGAACCAATTAAATTCATAAGTCGAGGCACCACTGTAATCATCTGTAATAAGTTACTGTTTGGGGGAAAATGTAACAGTTACAAAAATAATGTAATAAGTACTTACAATGTTGTCTGTAATAAGTTACTGTTTGGGGGGAAAGTGTAACAGTTACAAAAAATAATGTAATAAGTACTTACAATGTTACAATATAAAAGTAACAAGTAGTGTTTTCTAGCTACCTTTAAATATTATTTTGAAAATCACTTTTAGGTAATTTAAACACTTTTTCTGGTCTTATGACATTTTCTCATCAGAATTTGTTAGATAGATTTTGTTTGTTTGTTTTACCATTTGTGTTTTTGTAAATATTTATGAAATTTGGTATCGGAATTGGCCATGAGGAGCAATCAGGGATTATTTCTCTATGTTTTTCTGGTCTGCTGGTAGGGACTATGCAATACATTAATAGTAAACAATACAAAGAATTACCTGCATGATGGGGCAGCAATAACAATAAGAGCAAAATTGGCTACTGCAACACAGTGGCAAGAACACTACTGATTAGTTACACTGGCATAAATGCAATGGCAGAAATCAAAGCAACAAATTGCCATTAGTTAACAAGTCACTATTTGTATCCCTAAACTCACATCACATCACATGACTGTTTCAGAATAAAGCGGTGACTCACCAACTAGCTGCAAGTCACCTCTGTGATTTACACCCCTGCACTTACACCAGCATAAATATTCATTAGTAATGCTAAAGTCTAAAGTCCTTTCAGAATATAATGTTTCAAGATCTGGGCAAAAGACAGGATTCACTCACATGCACACAGGGGGAGGTGAGCAAACACCTACACACAAAAAATCAGCAGGAGGCCAACATAGGAAAGGCCCTGACCCTCCACCTCCAGAAACGAGGCAGGCATAAGTGGGCCAAGGGGGTAGCATCCCCAGATCCATTCTAGACCAGCTTCTACTAATGTGGTAGCTTTCCAAAAGTCTGTGGAAAATGCTCATCGAGACCATGTGAGCGTATTCATACCTATGCCTTCCACCAGTGTAATCTGTCACCACAGAGGCCTGTAAACCCTCCTCCTGTTGACCTTGCAACTCAGCCAGGTTCACACAAAACATTTCTATGGATAGGCATTCAACCTCTCTCTTCAATTATCTACTCCTCAGTGTCAAATAATGCTAATTATGGGGCCCTAAAGATCGAGAGAAGCCGCCCTGGTTGAACAGCCTCATAAATCTCCACAAACGCTTGACAGGGCAGACTAAGCACTTTTCTTCTCACTCATTTTCTGTCCTCATAACAGTCAATTTTTCATTCATTTCTATCCTCCTATTGGTAAATTATCCCTTCGTTTACCTCATCCATCCATTCATTTATTAGCAGCTCAACGGATGACTATAGCACAGCAATCTCCTGTCTTCTGGTTGATTTCCATGGGGGCGGGGGGAGACGAGGAAGGGTGAAAAAGCAAAGTAAAGGATACTGGAGCATCTTCATGTAATTCTGTATTGCCTGAAGCCATTCTGGGATCGTCATGGAAGCCCTGTAGTTTGGCACGGATGGAACAGAAGGCTGCACAAAAGGGGAAAGAGAAAGACAAGGGCTGAAAGATGTCATGGCTTCAACATAGGCAGCCAAAACAAGGTTATTCAAGCAACAGAGCAGGGGAAAGGAGAGGAGAAACAAAGCTGAATCCAATGGCCACACAAAGTCTCATCGTCTGCTTATTTGGAATGAAGTCTCACAAAGCTCAGTAGGACTTCTTCCTAAGGCAAATGTGCAAAGCCGAGCTGCAAACGTTGCAAAACACGCATTCGGTGCCTTGCAAGAATGCCGCCAACTTCTCAAAGGTCAGCTTTTGTCTTCCTTCGAACTTTGTGTCAGTTCGAGGAACCGTTCAGAGTCTGGCATCACAAGCCCAGACAGAAGCCTGTTTCCCATCTTTTTCCATGCCTCTCTCACCCCACTCCTCCTCTGAAATATTTCACGCAGCTGTTTCATGCAAGAGTAGAAGGGAGCTCATTATGCTATCCGATGTCCCCATTCTCTGCCGGCAATTGACAAATGGACACAGGCGCATGAAACAGGATGCACGAAACAGCTGAACCACTGACATATGGGACAGGAGGCAGCTGTCAGGATACGAAGTGACTGAAGTACCAGCAAGCTTCCCAGACTTCTCTGGCATGACAATCTCGGGTAAAAGAGAAGGGCTGCTTATTTAAGAGCTGTCTATCTGAACCCTTAGGTGAAAATAGTAGCCAGCTACAGTTTGAGAGTGACAGAGAGGAATCTGGACAAGGCCTCCCTAACTTAAAAAACTGATAGTTGCTTCCTAAAATTGCGATGGCTTTCCCATCTCTTTAATACAGTGCAGGTCTATTCCAAATCATAATAAGCATACAATAAATAAACATTAATAATAAGTAGTGGATTAATACATTTTCCAGCCCAGGGACTCCTCAGGCCAGCCTCCATAGCCATGCTTCCAAGAAAAAACAAAGCCGTGAAAATGCGGGAAATTGCTTAATTGACTAACTGATTAAGAAGTGAGTGAACAAGCTTTTGAAAAAGACAATCGGCTCAGATCTCCACACGCACAGCAAAAGTACAAAAAGGGAAGGGAAGTCATTGCAATGGTCTTATCCTACGGAAATGTGCTTGTATGAGAGCAGCAGGAACAGCAAGAAAGGTTCTCTCAGAAGACCTGTTGACACTTCTAAGGGAAGGAGTCTGCCCATGCTTTGGACACATGACTCACTGGAACAAATGACAGTACTGGGGAAGGCAGCAGGAAAAAGAGGAACACTGGATATAAAATGGATTGATCCAATAAGGGAAGTCACAGCCTTGGGTTAGGAATACCTGAGCAGAACCAGTTAATGACAGGACTTTTTGGAGGTTACGAAGTCCAAAGGTCACGGTAAGTCAGAAGCAATTTGACAGAACATAACCACACAGGGATTTCCTGCCAGGTTCCAAATACCTTAGGTCTCTCCAACCATCAGTGCTGTATGTAACACCTTAGGTCTCTCCAGCCTAGTGACATGCATGTGGTATGGAATGCATGGATTACAATTCTCATCATCCTCAGCCATATGGATGGGGAAACTGAAATTGCAGCCTGGAAGGTTTCCATTTCGGAAAGACTGATATATGCTTTAGCAAGGGTGGGCAACTCAGAGAGGTCCAAGGGCTTCCCCAATTCCTTAGTATGGGGGGGGACGGGGACTACAGGGCAGATTGAAAAACTTCACCACTTTTTTTATGCCTCTAGGGCTTCCTTTTTTGAAAACCAGAAGTGGCCAGATTTCAGTTTGGGAGAAAAGAGACTTTCCCAGCTTAAAGCAGTGACATGGGGGGGAACATGGGAGAGTGGCTTTCTTAGGGTTTAAAAAAAGATTGGAAGGTTGTGCAGCCCTGGGGGGGCTGCTTGTGGTCCATGATTCACAAGTTGCCCTAACATGCAACCTCAACACAAGGCTTGAGGTCTATGGCCAGCTGAGAAGGCGTCAGAGCAAAGCTGCAGTAGGTAACCTTAAACGTCAGCCAGGCAACATCCTTACAGCTGCTACAAGATTAGGATGATTAATTAGGAAATCTTCTCCAAAGCTCTCCAGCATTTAGAGATCTTGCAGATGTAACAGGTGGCTGGAAGCAGGGCTGCTCTCCCTGGAGTGCCCCGTGGTGGCGGCTCTTGTCGCCCGCTGTTTCATCAATCAGCATAGATAGTCTAGCCGCAGGTCACATGGTACAGAATTAGAATTCAGAGTGGAAACCAGACAGAGGGCAAAAAGGAGGAGCATCTGCTCCGACTGCTTGCAGTGGCGACGGCCGTGTTGGGATGTTCACTGAAAGCCAAACCCTTTCTCCTTTCTGCCCAAGAGGAACTCTGTGTATGTTTTGACACCCTAATAAGCAAATCATCTGCAACTGCAGGTCATGCTTTGCCAGGGACACTCTAATAAGCAAATCATCTGCAACTGCAGGTTCTACGCCGATGACACACAGCAGATTTCCAGACACAGAAATTTAGCACTTACTTTAATAAGTCCATTCATAAAGATTCATTTCCATCCAGCAACTGAAAAATTAAAATGGAAGGACTGGAAAGGAGGAGGTGGCCCTTCTAGAATCACCGAATCATGGCACTTATGGCAAAGGACTTCCAAGGTCATCTAATCCAAAGCCATCCTCTATCCAGAAAATCTGCTACTGAAACACTTGCAAGGGGGGGATCATGCGCCCCTAGCTTAAATTCTTCCAGTGAAGGACAGTCTACCATGTTTGCAAAGATCCAACTTTTATCTGAACAATATTAAACTGGCGGAGCCTCCTAATGATGCAAATGAGTATATGCTTCCACATCCAGGGTAGCCAAATTTGTTTGTCTGGTTGATTGGTTGGTTGGTTGGTTGGTTCTTTGTTTGTTTGTTTGTTTGTTTGTTTATAGTAGACAGTCCTTGCTCTTCAGAAGGAAAGACTTCCCAAACTGGATAATAAATCAGTAAGAACTAGACAGTCCATATTTCTCAGTTTATAAAGACACCATACCAAAGGAAAACGGATGGAGAGGGGGGGGGAAAGGAAAACAAGAAAATTCAGGTATTGATTCTTCCCATTACACTGTTCTTGTAATGGCCAGCTGTACCACAGCCAAAAATTATTGGTCTTCTTGCCATGACCAGTTGAAAATGAAAATGGTAATTTGTGGCCAATTGCCCTTCGCTCTTATTAGGGTCACAGAGATGGTTATGTGTGATAATGTATATGAAGATGAATCCTGAAGTAGAATTAGTCCACTCTCACCTGATTTATTTATTTATTATTTATTTGTCTCACTTTTAGGCCCCCTTTCTCTTGATGACGTGGCTCATGGTGTAAAAAGCAAATTAGATTTAAAACACAATTGTTCATTAAAAGTAACTTTACTACTATAGTAATTTTAATACATTTGATGATTTAAATCTTTAAAACTCGACTAAAAATGGCATTCAGGGACTCAATTATGATTGTTAAAATCCTGCCTGAAGTTCTAATTTATTTATTTATTTGCAAGGTTTTTTTAGCCACACCATTACCAATGGTTTCTGAGTGGCGTACAGCAATATTAAAACTTTAGAACCACATTAAAAACCATTAAAATAATACCCAATATTTTAATATTGGTCCATTGGTCCAGATAGGCGGGGTACAAATCAAATAAATAATAATAATAATATTAAAACTGTCAATTTATCATTAATAAATCCTACTGCTCATGCAGTACTATTCAATTAAAATGCCTGGCGCCGAAAAGCCAAAAGTGTTGGAGCCAGGCGGATCTCTATAGGGAGGGCGTTCCAAAGTTGGGGAACAACAGCTGAGATTTCGACATGCCATCCCCCTCACCTCTTTCAGGGATGGCACCTTCAGAAGGGCCTCCTGGCCTGATCTTAGAGGACGGGCAGGGCAGGCTCATATGGAAGGAAGGCAGCCCTTTACTACTTCAACTGTTGGCGGAAGCATAAAAGGAAGGGCATCCACCTGACCTCCTTAGGGAGAGCGCTTCCACAACCTAGGAGGAACCACAGTGAAGGCCTTCTCTTATGCTCCTATCAACTGTGACTGTGCTGGCAATGGGATTGAGAGGAGGGCCTTCTCTGATGATCTTAAGAGCTGAGAAGGCTTCTATGGGGAGATATGGTCCTTTAGGAAGCCTAGATCCCAGCCGTATATTGCTTTTTAGGTAATGATCAGCACTTTGAATTGGGAAACGGACCTGTGGCCAGTGCAGTTGTAGCAGGGGTGTTATATGCTCCCTATAGCTGGCCCCAGTCAATAGTCTATCTGTCTGCAGAATTCTGAACATTATTCAAACAGCCTGTTATTGCCAGTCACTGATTGGAGATGAGAGTAAAAGCAATTTGCAAGCTATATATGGTCGTCATCTTCAACCTGGGAGACCAAAGCTTTCCATTCTTGCCTCACAGGGTTCTGAACATCCACACAACCTGGACATCATCTATTTAATTATCTCCTTTTGTTTAACAAGGTAGAGACACAGAACAGGTCTCACTTTGGTCCCACCACTCCTCATAGTGAGGGATGATCCTACAATCCTACAAGACCTAGAGGGCCATGCATTACCTGCCCCCATCCTAATGATTTTCTGTGCTAATTTTGGAAGCATGTGGGTGAAGAGGCAGCAGAACATCCTAGGAACCAGAAAGAAGGGTTCAGATGCTTCCTTTGTCCTGGGCATGCAGCTTGAATGCATTACTTTCAGGGTCTAGTAAAAACAGAGACTATCCAAAATACATACAGACAAATTCTCATATATCATAAGATTAACATTCATTAGGATATAGTTCAGGGAGTGGAATTAGGGTATTGATTGTGCTGGAACTTTTTAAAAACGCAAATGATACATGGACCAACCCTACCTACAGTTGCCTCCAGCAGCTGATTTCAGCTGTCATGAAAAGACCATAAACATTGTGTTTCAGTGCCAGGGAGGGAGAAGGGTCCTTGAGACTGCCAACAGAACTGGTCTTCTTGAAGATCATGGATCTTGACACTGGGGCAGGAGTATCATTTGTTGCTTCTCCTCCAACAGTGAAATCTTGTGGGCCAGCCCTCGCCAATAAGTGTGCTTCAACCATCTGTCAAGGTGACTAAACTTTAAGATCCAAAATGCACTTTTATTATCTATAGTCCATCTGGCACTGAACACCTATTTCCAGGTTTATGATTACACAGTGAAAACTGATTTTGATTTTCCTCCCTAGCACTGGATGTGCATGTTGACCCCTTCATGTTCTTCGTGTTCAAGCCTCCAAGGCCTGTTAATACATAGCCTGACCTAGTACAGGGCAGCTGCAAATGCTTGGTGCTTGAGACAGGTTCCAATCTTGGGGTCCGGTCAGAATAGAAGAAAATAAGAATTCAACTCATCTGGTTAGTAGATGGGCATCAGAGTTGGGAAAACTGTTTTTTCAGACTACACTTCCCCAAATCTTACAGCCATCATAGCCACTAGCCATGCCGGCTAAGTGATCCTGGGAGTGGTTAGGACAGATTTCCAATTCCCACCCAATCCAAAATGCACTTTCGATTCAATATACCTCTCCAGTAGTGCTGTCTGCCCTTACTAAAGGACAGCTTTTGTCCACCTGTGATTTTTATGGCAGTGCAAGAGCTGCTAGCTGAGAACTGCAAACTTTCACCACTCTGGTTGCAGGCAGACAACAAAAGTTGACATTTCCAAAGGTGCGGAAAGTGATTTCTTACTCTAAAAAAGCACTTAGTATGGAAATTCCCAGATGACAGTGTCGCGGGTACCACCTTCAGCCTCAACTGTGATCTGGAATTACAAGTATTTCCCTTAGGGGATAAAATATGAGCAGCTGTTGGGCTACATTTATAGATGCTCAAATGGGCCTACTAAAGCAAGTGAAACCACAGCTGGACCTATTTAACTCCTGGGCGCTCTACAACGTTTTTGTTTTGTTTCCACTTGCTTTTTAATAAGTAGCCTACCAGTTCTGAGGGCTCTGCGGGGGGGGAGGGGAATGGAAATGTGTGGAGCAGCTGGCAAAGTATTATGAAATGGATGAGGCCAAGTGAACAGCTCACTGATTGCTTCAAAAGACTATTGTATAGGAATACAATGCATTACTAGTTATTACTTTTCTTGCAAAAGTTGTAGGGAGCGGCCCAGTTACCCTCTGCGCCTTGAAACCATTGAGTCTGGAAAGCAGGAACAATCGATCACACACCAAAAAGTGCTGCTTATGTACTGCCATATTGTGCTTAAAGGGACGACAGAGGACGAGATGGTTGGACAGTGTCACCGAAGCGACCAACATGAATTTGACCGAACTCTGGGAGGCAGAGGAAGACAGGAGGGCCTGGCGTGCTCTGGTCCACCATGGGGGTCATGAAGAGTCAGACACGACTTAATGACTAAACAGCAAAAATAGTGCTTAAAGCACTCTATGGGTGGTTCACAAGTTAATTATGCAGGCTACACATGCCTGCCCCCACCCCCCACCCCCGCGAGCTGGGCACTCCTGGATAGACTCATAAATGCCAGCAAAAACAACCCCCCACCCCCACGAGCTGGGCACTTATGGATAGACTCATAAATGCCAGCAAAAACACCCTTCTCAAAGCTGGCTGTCTTCAGTGGGTTGGACTACAACTCCCATCGCCCCAGTGGTCTTGCTGGCTGGGGGATGATGCCCTTTGTAGTCCCATCGGCACAGCTGGCAAATGTGCAAGGAAAGCTGGGTTAGTGGGTTTGGGCCCCTCTAAAGCCCAGAACAAGGGCACCCAAGTGGGAAGCAACTGGTGCCACTTACTTTTGCCAGGTAGGCAGCGTTCCTTATGGTCTCCACCATCTCCCTGCCGGAAGGATGTATCTTGGCCACGTGGCCCCACATCCTCTCCCAGGTGTGCCCATCGATGGGGAAGCCACTCTTGTTGACAAGGAAAACCACCCCTCCATCTTTGTCTTCCTCTTCCGAACCACCATTGTTCACGGTACTGACGGGCCGGGCGTGGGAGCTCCTCGAGCGGCCCCCTTTGTCTCCTTTGGGGTGGGGGTTGCGGGAAGGATTGGCACGGGACCCCGTCATGGTGAGCCCACAAGGAGGAGGAGCAGCCAGTCCAGAGCCCAGCGGGAAAAGGCAAACCGTTCAATACCCCAAGGAGGCAGCCCTCCCGGCCATCCCAGCCGCAGCCTGCCTCCAGCCCAAGGGATCAGACGGACATGGAAGTGGCTGCTCTCTAACAGCGCCGCCGACACACACCAAAGGCAGGTTTCTCCTCTTCCTTCTCGCCTTCCTGCAGGCAGAACCTAGAAAGACAGCAGAGAGGGTGAGAGGCAGCACGTGTTGCCCGGTGTCAGCCGGAGAAGGTTAGCATCATCACACTGGCGCTAGACAAAACATCCCCTTTCCCACCAGCTCTCCGGGGGGCCCCTCCAAGAACAGGAGGAGGTGACATAAGGAAACAATTCTGACTACACACACAAAACAGACCCTGTTGTTGTATGCCGGAAATGGCAAACAATAGAACAGCAGCAATCAAAGCTGGCGCTCAGCCTATTCACCTGTCAAACAAAAGAAGGATGCTCTCCCTCTCCCTCCCAGCCACTCCGTCCCTCTTCTTGAGCAAAACAATCCCCCGTGGCCGCCTCTCAGACAAGGGGCGACAGGAGCCAGGGAAGGAGTCTTCCTCTCCGCCCCCCAAAATTCAGGAAAGGCAACCTTTGAAGGGAACTGTCACACACAAAAGGGATCGGGAAGGAGCCTGCTGTTGGGGGCTGGATCCTTCACATTAATCCATCTTGTCAGGCAGATGGGCGGGGGAAGGGATTCCGCTAGATCTCTGCCTGCTTTGGGAGACCCGGTGTCTTGGGCACTTAAGAGCCTGGATGGGATCGGACAGGTAAAAAAAAAATAAACCCTAGGCACACAAGGTGTCTCTCTGTGCGTAAGGGGGGAGAGAAGGAGAGCTAGGGAAACGCGCGGGGACCGATCGTCTGCACACATCGCGTTCCTCGCCCTGGACTCCGCTCGGTGCAGCCCGACCAGGCAGGCATGCGGCAAACAGCTCGGGACTGGTGCAAGTCCAACCAACGGATGGAGGCGAGCCCACACCGATCGCCCCGATCCACGGCGGCCGGTGAGAGCGCGGGGCGATGGCGGGGCCCCGGGTGGAACGTGCGCGCCTGGGGAAATGCAGCCGGGAGGTCGCGCTGCCCAAGATCACGATCCCCCCCTTCTTAAACAGACAGTTCCCCCCGGGGGACCCCACCCATGCCCTGCTCCCCCACTGGCCGCCGCCGCCGCCGCCACCAGCATCCTACCTGGCCGCGGTGGGATTCATTGCACCGGAGCCTCTCCGGGCGGCTGCGGCTGATGCTGCTGTTGCAGCCGAGTCGGTCGCCTTCGCTTCAGTCCATGTTCCATGATCAAGTGTTACTCTCTGACATGTAACCATGTTACCCGGCAGCCGCCGACGTTCCGAATGTCCCTATTGGACGCCGCAACAAAGAAGGGCGGTCCTGCGAGGGGTGGGAAGAGGCTCGGAGAGGCGGGGCGGACCTCTGATTGGCTCCGGGTTCTCCAGTCGAGCAAGGCCAGCCCGGGAAATCTGATCGCTGGTCTCGATCTTTTTTTTTCTTCTTCTTCTTACAAGACCCCACTGATAGGAAGGGTCTTGTAAGTCAACCCTGACTATAGTCAGGGTTGGAGATCATAATCTATAAAAGTTATCTTACCACAGCTTGTATGGATGATGCATTGTATATTAATAGTAAATCAGTTCTCTGAAGCCATCTCTGTTTATTGCTCCAATGTGACTTGTATCCCTTTCTTATTTGTGACTGAGTCTTCCTCAATTTACTGTCTGATTTCATTGCTTGATGACGATGATCTGGAATCATTCATATAATTCTGAAATAATCGCACAGATAATTATATTTATATCACAAGAATTTGAAGAAGGAAAAAAACAACCTTACTCATCAACACCTGTTGTTATGTGCTGTGAAGTCAATTCTAACGGATGGCAACCTTATGAATTAATTCATAAGATTTAAAAAGTCCTATCAGTAACAGACCTGCTCTGGTTTTGAAGACTCTGTCTGGACGGTGGCTACCATTACCAAGTTTGGCAAGTTGAAAACCAAGACTGCAGTTAAATACAGTATTAAGGAGGCAGAATTGTCTCTAGAGAAGAATTGACTAACTTCTCTGTTGGGAATGAAGACACTGAAATGGTTAAAAGATTTTCCATATCTTGGGTTAATCATCAATCTCTGTGGAGACTGCAGCCAAACAACAGAAGAGGGAGACTTGGAAGGGCAGCAATGATGGAGCTAAATATCATCTAGTGAACGGATGTGTTACTTACTACAGACTAAGGCAAAGACGATCTATGTTATGATGTTCTTAATTAATATTTACAGATGTTAAAGTTGGGCAGCAGAGAAAACTGACAGTTAAAAAATTATTCATTTGAAACGAGGTGCTGGAGGATTAACAGAAAGACAAATAAGTGGGTGCTAGATCAAATAAAGTGTAAACTCTCTGCAGGTATAAGAAAAGATTAAACTGAGACTGTCATGCTTTGGGCACATCACAAGAAACCAAGATGCAAGGGAAAAGATGGTATTGCCACCGTTAGGACTGATTATGGAAAGAGATAATTGTTTCCTATATAAGCAAAGGTGCCAGATAAAAGGTGCATTTTATCTCCCTATCTGTTCAATATATTTGCAGAATATATCACACAGAAAGCTGAACTAGATTCAGAAGAAGGAGAACTGAAAATTGTTGGGAAAAACATCAATAATGAATTAAGATATGCAGATAACAGCATCTTAGTGGCAGAAAGCAGTAATGACTTGAAATGATTTTTAGTGAACGTTGAAGAAGAAAGTGACAAAGCAGGATTGCAGTTGAATATTAAGATGAAAATCATGACTACAAAAGAACTACACAACTTTAATGTTGACAACAACTAAACTGAAAGATTTTCGATACCTTGGATATCAAATGGAGATCATAGCCAGGGAATCAGAGAAGACTGAAACTCAGAAGGGCAATGATGATTAGAAATGTTGATCAAGTGTAAGAATGAGTCACTGAATATCAAGACCAATATCATCTACATTCTTGTATTCCCAGTTACTATGTACAGATATTAAAGCTGCAGTAAAAATTGAAAAGAAAACTGTAAAGAAGAACATTGAGAGCTGGAGGAGAACTTTGCAGGTGAAGCAAAGTGTGCTCCTTATATATTACATAAAGCATTTTCTGGGAGGTTTGCACTTTAATTATGCAGACTACATATTGCCCCCTCCCCATGAGCTGGCTCCTTTACCGACCTCAGAAAGATGGAAGGTTGAATCAACTTCAAGCCACCTACCTCAATCCTCTGGGGTTGAATGCAGATTGTTAACAGAATTTTCTCTGCAGGACTGCCGTTTAACCACTGTGACATGAGACTCCTTAGATATCCTGGAATGCCAAAAAGACAAACAAGTAGGGCCTACACCAAATCAAACGAGCTGGCTCCTTTACTGACCTCAGAAAGATGGAAGGTTGAATCAACTTCAAGCCACCTACCTCAATCCTCTGGGGTTGAATGCAGATTGTTAACAGAATTTTCTCTGCAGGACTGCCGTTTAACCACTGTGACATGAGACTCCTTAGATATCCTGGAATGCCAAAAAGACAAACAAGTAGGGCCTACACCAAATCAAGCCTGGACTATCTATGGAGTCAAAGATGATGAAACCGAGGCTGTCCTACATTGGGCATACTGTATAACAAAAAGGCAGAATTCTCTGGAAAAGACAATAATGCAGGGAAAAGTTCAGGGCAGCAAGAAAAGAAGGAAATCAAATACAAGATAGATTGACTCCGTAATCAACGGACTTGGGTTTTCAAGAGCTGGTCAGGGCTGTTGAGGGCAGGACATTTCAAAGATTGCTCATTCATCAGATCTCTATAAGTTGGAGGTGACATGATGGCACAAAACAATAACAAACAAGCACATGTTCAGATAGTGAACACTGGCTCCTGTGATGGAGGTGGGGAGCAGGATAGTCCCTTTCCACCAGCCAATTTGCATGTGGTTCATCTGGATCCCGCCACTGCAAAATGCAGGAGGTGGTCCGCTCTCTGTGCAGTTATCAAGTGTGACCCGTGTCCACTTGCTCTATTATTTTAGATTAACGCTGTGGGTTGTCGTTATCATGGAATGTGACCAACACTTTCTCATTACTATAACTGATCCAAGGTTGGGATATGACACTGTAAAGGTATGCTACAGAGGAGTCGAAGTAAGTTCTGGCTCAAATGTATGTTTCAAATTTGGGGATTTAATCATTTTCAGTGCAATCACAAGTAAAAGGCTAGAGCACAGGCAGTCATCAGGAAAGTCCTCATATCAGCAGAGTTCTAACATGGAAAGCCAGTGCATTCATCCATTAAACAAAACCGAATGAAGAAACAGTTTTCATCTGTTGGGGCAGGTCTTTTGTAAAGATAATGAGTCTTAATTTCCTATTGAAAACCGAGCCACCGCGCCCCCCCCAAATTCTTTATGCTATAACAAGGATGGCTCACAACTATATAGAGTGCTAGGAAATCTATTTCTGATTTAGATACTGTGGAGATGGCAGCTTAGCTCAGCGGAAACATGTAAGAGTGACACAGTTGGCAGATGATAACATAATAATAATTTAAAAATGCCACATTGCTTGAATTCCAGGGGCCTTAGTTCAACAACAAAACTGTGTACAATTGTGTCTATGCTTGTTTCCTTAGAAGTAAGTCCCACTGAGTTCAACGGGGGTTTATCCTTGGAAAGTATATCTAAATTACAGCCTGACATTGCAATTCTGCACATGTCTAATTAGAAGTAAGCTGTCTGGAGTTAATTATGGGACTTATTCCCAAGTGAGTGGTATACATTTACAGCTGTAATCAGTGCAGAAATATTAATTCTAATTATCATTGAAGTTTTCCTTTAGCATGGCGAAGGGAGTATGTGCCAGGAAAACAGAGAGCAATACTGTTAGGGGGCTAGACTCTGTCAAATATCTAGATTCCTAACAAGGTTGCACCTAGTAAGACAATACAGGCAGTGGCCAAAGTGAAGACACCAGGTTGAGGTGCATCCATTCTCTCAAGAAGGAACAGTTGCATCAGCGAAAGACTAGAGAAACTCAGGAAGGTCAGCTACTGGGTCAAAGCTGATATTCATAGGGATCTTTCATAAACAATGATAGTGATATGCAAGCTTAACTCTTGTTAATAGTGCACAGATGGAGTGCAATGGTAAACTACTTTTGGATATTTCTTACCCTGAAATCCCTAGGATGAAATAATGAAAAAAGAGATAGTGCCGGAAGATGAGGCTCGCAGGACAGAAGGTACTGAATCAGATGCTGAAGAAAAAGAAAGGATAAGTCTCTACAATGAGACAATCCAAAATGAGATGCATCAGGACTAAAACATAAATAGAAACCAGACCATCTTTCTGTCTTTGAGTTTCCCTGCCTCCAACCTTTTTGAAGTTTTTCCTAGATGTGATGTCCCAGAGAAACATATACTTATTTAAATACCCTGTTCATTTACATAGTTTGTGACAACCAGATCCCTCTGAATGCAATTGGAAACTTGACCACAAAAATGGCTCCAGGCTACACAAACAGCCCTGAGGAAGACTTCAGTGTGGTATATAAAAATAACTTTAAAAATGTGAAATCTTATAGAGAAAACAAGGGCTTTTGTTTTGCTCTTAACATGCTCATAGTATTCATTATTTGAGGTCATTTTACATCCTCATCCTCCCCTGCCATCTGGGCTAGATAAAAAGGGAATGTGAGGTCTAACTGATCAAATCCACTGATCCTTATAATGGGACTTTCGTAAACCTCAGATTATGCCACAATCCATCAGACAGAAAGAAAAGCAAATGCAAGTGGGCTACTTTGTAGGCATTTGGAAGATTAGCAGCCACATTTTAAGAGTATAGTGTTGTCAGATCAGCCATGTGGATGTTATGTGTTCTGTTCCTTCAAAAGAAAAAAAAATCCCACACTATTACAAATGGTTGCGTTATTTTGCACAAATGACATTGCTGATCCCTTCTTATCCCTAGAAGTAACAAGGTAGAGGCAGCAATGTCACATGCAAAGCATTACTGAAATGCTGCTCACCCAGGAAAATAGACGACACTGGCCAAACCGAACAGGCAACCCTTCCTTCCTTGGCTGACCTGGTGAGGGCAGAGAATTGTGGTGTGGTGGGGAAGTTAGAGAGCTGGGGTACAGGGTCTAAGAATCTGTCTATGGTGATGTCCCAGGCTTCGGACTCAAGTCTTTTAAATAGTACCATTAATTATGACTTTTTAAAAAGTTCTGGAGCAAGGTACGGAATCTACTTTTGAGCCTAGTAGTATGTTGATCGGGAAACATGTTAGCATGTCCCTGACTGAGGTGGG